AGCTCTGAAAGGGGGTGGGGTTAAATAAACTGTCATTTTTCTTTATAGAAGGACAAAGGAGAAATGTGGAAAAACCAAATGGAGACCACCAAAGAATTCACGAGTGGGGATCACAACAGACCACCACTAATAACTGACCAGAAAGAAATAACAGTGTTGATCGCTCTAAAAACTCTGGAAGTATGATTTTTCTTAGGAGAGAGAGTGAGAACGAGAGAAAGAGAGAACAGTTCAAATCATAGTTCTATGAGCACTTTTATAAGCCCATATGGAAAACTAAAGTGATGACAGTGGATGATGAGGAACTTCTGTTGATAATGAAGCACGGGTAGCCTCTGTTTAAGTTCAAAGCAAAATTTTTGTAGTTTAATTTAAATAACCCCTAGAAGGGAAGTAGACCCAGGAACAAAAGTCACCAAGGCATTCCCTTCTGGGTAACTCTACTTACTCGAATTTAATCACAATGCAATTATTTCTCCTGACTCCAGGATCTTGTTCCCCGGAGGTCAGTGCAAACCCTCTTCCCTCCCCCATTAATTCAGACTGGAAGCTTCTCAAGGGCAGGGATGGTGTCTCAGTCAGCTCTGAATCCCTGCAGGAGGCAAGCAGGAAATAATATGCTTACACCCAGTTGCCCGCCAAAGTAAGAATGGGGCAACTTGCTCTGCAGTCTTTAATCAGTAATGGCCACACAATTAATAAAGCCATATTTTGAGTTGTTCTCTGATAGTACTTATTCAGGTGAACCACAATTAATTTCATAAAAAATGTCCATGATAACAGTGGAATTTTACTCAGCCATAAAGAAGAAAGAAATTATGGCATTTGCTGATAAATGGATGGAAATGGAGAAGATCATGCTAAGTGAAATAAGCCTGACTCAGAATAAGTCAAGGGCCGAATGTTTTCTCTCATATGCAGAAGCTAGACCCAAAAAAGGAGAAATAGAAGGGGTGTCCTTTGAAAATAGAGGGATATCAGTGGAATAGAAGAAAGGGATAGAAGAGGAGGGAGAAGAGATGTGGCAAAGGAGGAACTGCAGAATGAAATTGACCAAATTATGCTAGGTGCATGTATGAATATACCACCTTTAAGTATATCTATAAATTAACATTATTAATTATTAATAAAATAATAAACATAAGGAAGACCCATAGAGTAGAGGAAGGGAAATAGGGAAAGTGAGGAGAGCTAGAGAAACTGCTAGGGGCTGAAATGCAGCAAATTATATTCCATCCATGTATAATTATGTTAAAAGGAACCCCACTATTATCTAAACTAAAATGCACTACCAATAAAAATAGTCAAAACAGGAAATTCAACTACAATTTTTTTTTCATGATAATAACTTTCAGAATGTAAATACACAAACCAAGATAGCTCATTTAAGATAAGAGGAGGATCTTTTTCAGGGCCATAATGTGAACGATGATCTTAATTAGAAAAAAGTCCTCTCTCCTAGCCATGAATCCATACTCGTGGACCATGAAGATATTACTATGAATCCTAGGGGCCTCAATGTATGTTGAGTAGCATTTGCATTTTTGGGGTTCTTATGACCTGCTAGAGGGTCATAAAAATAGGTCATAAAAAATAGAAACAATAGGGAAGGTGGTGTGGCAGGGACACCTATCATCCAAACCAGGCAGAAGCTATGAGGGCCTCGGGGTGGGGAGGAAGGGCATGCTGCCCTGCCATGCAGTGATGAATTTCAATCACTGCTGCCTTATGCCAGATTCAAATTGGCAACCCACTGAGATGAAACACTTTCTATCCCATTACTCATGCCTGGAGTGATCTGTTCCCTTGAAGATTGGCTTCCTAGGTGAAAGCAAGGGAATGGATGGTCACTCTGGGATGCCTTAAATAGGATAAAAGGTATGAGAGAAATGATAGGGATATGGAAAAGGAGCTGATGGTCCCATATAAATCTCAATGCATGGGATGGAAAAGGGTGGGACACTTAAAGGAAAAGGGAACTCAGTTAGTAATGGCAACCTCACCCACTTCAACTCCTACAATACTTTTGCTCTGCTAACAAAACAACATATTTAGGACTATATAGTAATCCTTCCTAAAAATTTGTATTTGGTTCAACTTATCTCATGAAATCACTCCAAATCATTAAAGCCATTTAAAATGTTAAAAAGAAACAAATCAAACAATACAACTTAACTTTTGAACATTCAGATCCATCCCACATGGATTCTGGTACTAATAATCCTCTGAATAGAGCTTTTAAGATTTCTAAAATTATTACTAAATCCTTTTTTTGAGTTTTGGTTTTTTTTAGGGTCTTGTGCATCTGGGAGATAAGTGGTATAACTCTAAGCTACATCCTAGCCCTAATACTATCTGTTTTATTTTGTAAGCCTTTTTGTTTTGTTTTTGCAGAGTAGGGCATCATACCCAAGGTCTCATGCATGCTAAGCATGCAGTCTACCACCAGGAAAAAACTCCCTTGCTAAATCTTAATCTTTACTAAAACCTTATCTCAAGATTGAATATAGCAAGTAACAGCAAAAAATTAGAATTTACCAATAAATAAAATCAACAGCACAATTCAGTAAATAAACATCTGTGTTCTCATTTTCCTACCCATCCCTTAGATAGCTGTCTTCCTGGATCCCAGGTTCAACAATGCATCTCTTAAGATATGCCAGGGCTCTGAGAAGAATAGCATACTGAGATGACCAAGGAAAAGGTTATTAAAGATAAGCAATCCTTTCAAATCTTAACAATATGAGAAGCAATGATAGGATCATTTTTAATAAAACAAAATGTTTTCTCTGCTCTTCTCCATACCTGGAGCTCCAGCTCCACTCAAAGTGGCCCAACTCTGGAAATTCCTAGGGGCAGTGGCAAGGAGCAGGAAGGAGCTCCGGCATGTTCAGAAAAGCATACTCTTGCTCCATGCCACCACTCTGTATATCTCTCCTCCAGCTCCAGGACTAATCCCCCATGCCTCCAGAGGGCTGGCTTGATGGCACCGGGCTATGGCAACACTAATGCATGGCCCATTCCTCTGGTCTTCCATGCTTGAAGGTATCTCAGCAATGGCTGCAAAAGGACAGCATCTCTCATCTTTACCTTGATATGATACCGAAGTTGCAAAGCAGTACGCTTAGTGAACCCATGTACTTTTTACTCCCAGCCCCTTCTCCTGGGATTGGCATGACTCCACAGAAGCTGTATTTTAGTGAGAGATATAGCATGTGGATACCCTCTCTGATCCCAAGGGATAGTCTGTGCATTAAACTTGTGGGTGGTTTCCCAAGGAGTCCATTCCCAGGATGTTCACATGTAACCAGATCACCTGGTCCTCCAGGTGGACTGGTGCATATCTCATCTCTATAGTGCAGTGGACCCTACTACAAAGAATATGTCTGACCTATGGATGAAATTAAAGATATCTAGGGTTTGCTCCAAAATGATATAGGAGGAAGGGCTAGTGGGTGAGGAGAAAGAAGAACCAAAATTGACCAAGAATGTAAAATCATTGCTGCTGGGTGTTGAGTTTTGTGCTACTCAAGGTGTGGTCTGGGACATATGTACCTATGCGCTGTGACTGGTCTTTGAAGACACAAGTATAGAGATTGAAAGGAGCATTCAGAAGCCTTTATAGCCAGTTGACAGAATAATTCTGTGTCTGTAAAATCTAATATAAAATAATTGGACTTGAATTTTTGTCTGTCTTTGCTTTTTAAACTCATTTTTCCAAGAATTTACTTTTTACAAAACTGTCAATCTATGAGGATGGTACACTTAAAGAGAAAGAAAGAAAGAAAGAAAGAAAAGTAAGGAAAGAAAGAAGATGCCTTATTATGAAAAGATTGAGAAGCCTTGCTTTATATGGTTCTCTTTATCTCTGTGTCTGCTTGTCTTTTTCCATAATAAAATGTTAGAAAAAAAAGACTTGCTATTTGTTTTCAAAATTAAAATTTTACAATTCATCAGAATATAAATGAACTGATTTTATTTTACAAATACAAAGATAAATACAGACTTGACAACCTCAGTTACCCAAAAGGGCCTCCTCCTGGCGGCCCCCTCCCCCAGGTTAATCACAGAGGGTGGGGTGGGGGGGCAGGAAAGATAGTGGAACTATGAGCTTACTGCAGCACGGGGCACCACAGCCCTGATGAGCAACTTGTGGCTTAACATTTGGAATATTTAAACTTTGACTTTTACTATTTCCTCTCTGACAAAAAACACATCTTAGCCCACAAAGGGCTGTGTGTGTGTGTATGTGTGTGTGTGTGTGTGTGTGTGTGTGTGTGTGTCTGTGTATGTATGTATGAAAATTACAAGCCCACGTGTCTGTCAACTTGATACAATTACGCTTTCTAGTGAAGTAACTGAAAATAGCTGTAGGTGTACATGTACATTTCCATTTAAAAATGGCATCTAGTCTCTTTTTCTATTCTGGTCATAACACCATCATCCCAGGGCCATTCATTTTAAGGTCAAAAACTCCTGTGACCCCAGGGCAGCTAATATGTTCCTGTTAATCATCCTGACTCCCCACAGAGGAGTTTAGGGGAAAAAAAAATAACAGCTTAAGACTCAAACGTCTTGAATGCAGCCAGCTCTGTTTCCTCCATCAGCTTTGTCCTAACAGTAAAAGACCCACTTAATGCCTTGAAAGCAAAACATCGATTGGAAGGAGGAATCCGCTTTTGAGGAAGGGGAAAGAAAATGAAAATATGCTGGGAGGGTGACAGGAGGCCATTTGTCCTGGGACACGGCAGCACGTGGGGTGTCCCTGCTGTGTCCCCCCTGTGGGATCCTGTGGCTACTGTTTCAGGCTTACCATGAAATAACCACTTGAGGGGAAAGGCTGCAGGGAGCCTTTGCAGGGCGCAGCCTGTAAGGGTATGAGCGCCAGGTTCCCTGTAATTAAGAAGCAGCCTGCTCCCGCGAAGACAGTGCTGCCACCCCATCTGCCAAGCCCGCGGGAGCTGGCACCGAGCCTCCCTGCCTGCCGCCCTGCTACCCACCGGATCCTTGGAGACCGCCTTTGATGGAGCGTTTATGCCAAGCTTTTCCAGAGGATAGACAATCTGTCGTCGTGGTCGCACGGGAACCAAGTAATGAAGGGCAGATGTCAGGGAGTGGGCGTAGGGGTTCTGGAACTGAAAGACAGCAATCTATATTTTAGGGGAGAGAATGTCAGAGAGGCGCAGCACAGATGTCTGCGTGCAGCTTTACAAATACAAAACTCTTAACTCGGCCAAGTCGGAGAGGGGGAAAAAAATCAGCAAATAAACAAACATACTCTTCGAGCAGAGGAATGAATTGTAGATAATGCCTGACACTAATGAAGATAATTACGAGAGTAATTACATTACTATCTCTGTGGGAATGACAGATAAACAAGTGGTTTGGTTTATGGGATTTTTCAGTACAAGTATTTTCCCCAGGAGGATGCTCTTCTCCATAGTGATCATGAATCAGCTTGATTTGACCCCATTAAGTTGTGTTATCTTCGTCCTGTTAACCTTTGTGTGTTTGGCACAAGCTGCTTTAAGAAGACACATAGATAAAAATGCCATTGCAGAGTGACTGAACAAAAAAAAATGTGAAAATCCTCCTGTTATGGAACTGAGAGACAGTCCCAGACACTTTAGCTAGACCCTTGTGGATAAAATGAGTGTTAGAACAAAAAGATAAAACCACAAAGTGGGGTAGAGTGGGGGAGGTAGATCACATTATGCTTAAGATTTATGTTTGTTGGAATGGACTATGATAAATCATGTTTTAGGACAATGCTTTAAATATTAATTTTCTCTAGTTTTTAAAAAAATTGGCAGAGAAAGCTGAATATGGTGATTTCTATTTTTCTTACATGTATAAATTCTCAGAAATTTGGTAAAACTAACACAGGATATAGTAACCATTTAAACCTCAAGAGTCAAACTATGAAGCCAAAACTTTTAATGTTACACGTACTGAATTTAAATGAGAAAGACAAAAAAAAGTAAAACTGAACTGTTGCTATATCTTAATAAATAAGATGATTTATGAATCACTTATTTACAATTCTAACATAACCCTGGTATTTTTAAGAGCTTCCACAGGGAATTCTAAAATCATTCACCAAGGAACCTCATACCTTGACTTTACAAACTGAAAAACAGAACCCAGGAATCTCTAGCCAGAACTCTACTTTTTATGCCAATGAATTTCTCTCAATGCATGCCCACGCAGGGAGTACAAAGAAATATAATTCAAGCCAAAAAAACTTCATATTTGCTACAGTCAACCAGAGATTTACAGCAAATTTCCAAATTTGTTTGGAATTGCTGCTTACACTTGTTTCAAATGTATATGCATAACTGGAAATGCAAACTGAGAGGAAATCTGTTTCCAAATGTGTTTCCATAGCCTATATGATAGTGCCTAACATATCCCTAACTCTACACCATTGTGGTAAATAAACATTCAATGAAATGCCCAAGACATTATTTTTATTATGGATGCAAATGGGCTTTCTCCAACCCAGCATATCTGGGCAATATTATGAACAAAAACCAATAATTTAATATCACATCCTGAAGGTCACACAATTGGCTTTTGGCCAAGTGTAAAGTGAAAGGAAATTGTGCAGGACTAGGATTTTCCAGTAAAACTGTTACCTTCCCATTTCATTAAGTTCAAATCTAGGGTGATCATATTGTTATCTGCTGCATTTTGATAGAAAAAAAAAATCTCTGGAGCAGGGTCTACATCTCCCTAAAAATATTTTCCATGTTTCTTCTTCTTTCTTTCCCATTCTCTTTACACTTCTTCAACAAGCTTTTGTTCAGTAAGGTACACTGGCATAATTACTGTGTGCATGCCCCAATACACCCTAGATTGTTTAATAAAATGTTTGATAAATAAGATCAATCTTAAAAACCATTGAGTCTTCTGTGGGACAATGTCAAGGATTCCAGGCAGAACACAAGAAAAGTTGAGGTCATGAATGGAATCTGATGGAATGACTTCTAGTATTGAAGCCTATCACACCTCGAGTTCTCATCGAGGAGACAAATGCTGCCAGTGATTGAGGGAGTGGCTTTCAGGGCAACAACCCCTTGGGAATCCAGATTGAATGGGCACTTGCCTGTGGAACAATCAGGACACCTAACATGAGGGAGGGAAGGAGGGAGGAGGGAAGAAGTGTGTGTGTGTGTGTGTGTGTGTGTGTGTGTGTGTGTGGCTTCAAGGCACTGGAGATACAACTTTGAAGAAAGCAAACACTCCTACCTTTATGGTAAGATGTACTGAAATGTGCAGGATTCGGAAATAGAATAGGTTTATTTTTAGTGCATACACATCCATTATTATTCTACATAATTTTACATGGAGTTATACGGGTGTTTACTACATAATGTTTACGATAGGATCATACATCTCCACTTTTTATCCATTACTTTTATGGAATGGATATAGAATCTACTTGGAATGCTGGTATAAGCACACCAATCTTATAGAATAGAATTAATTTATTCTATTTATTTACTTGTAGAAACACAATAGGATTATTTTGGCATTGCACTAATTCGTCATAAGACATAATTTGATTTTCACGTCTCAGATATTTTTGCATAGTTTTTAGTCTCTGTTTTGTCAATATAGAAAAGCTAACAAATTGCTCTGCTAATAACATTGGTTGCTGTTGTCTCAGAACTTCAAAGCTTTCTGGATATTCACTGTAGTGTAAGAAAAGGGCCAAACTCAATGTGGTCACTGGAAATTCATATCCATGTCAAAACCCATCAAGAGAGGAATGAATGAGATAAGGGCACACAATAGGAATGACACTGTGAATGCTGATCTGCTGGGAAAGGGAATAACAAAAACTCCTTACCTTGCCTTTCCTGGGTTGTGGGTAAATAGGGTAGTAGAGACAGGACTTATAGCTTAAGCGAAGGATCTCCTTCAGAAAAAACTTGGTGTAGTGCCGGAAAATAGGGTTCAGTGCAAAGTGATACAAGTGACCATGTTCTTCTCGCTGATGGTGGCTGAAGTAGATGAAATCTTCAATATTGTAATGGGACCGTATGTACTCTACATCCTAAAGAAGAGGCAGAGAAAGTGTGTTTTAAACAAATAGCATACATGTTATGATAAATATACATTAAAAATTATTCTAGGGTGGCAGGGGTGCGGTTCAGTGGCAAAGTGCTTGCCTCCCATGTGTGAGGCATTGGATTCGATCCTCAGCACCACATAAAAGTAAATAAACAAAACAAAAATACTGAGTCCATGTAAAACTAAAAAATATTTTTTTAAAAAAAATTACTGTAGTGTCTTTTTCTCCCATTTTTTTTAAACCACCTTGTCTTCATGAAGTATTTTTTTTTTTTAACATTAAAAGCATATGGAGGGCTGGGGCTGGGACTCAGTGGTAGAGTGCTTGCCTAGCACATGCAAGGCGCTGGGTTGGATCCTCAGCACCACATAAAAACAAAGATATTGTAAAAGTAAAGATATTGTGTCCAACTACAACTAAAAAATATTTTTAAAAAAGCATTATGCTATTGTGCATGTATCACAATGCATTCCAGTTTTATAAATAACTATAGTTCACCAATCATAAATAAATAAATAGATAGATAGACAAAAGAGTAGAGGAAAGTAATTAGAGAAGCAAGAAGGGAAGAGAGAGAGAGGAAGTAGGGATTGAAATGGAGAAAACTACATTATATGCGTTTATGGATATGTTAAAACAAACCCTACTATTATGTATAACTATAATGCACCAAAAAGTTTTTTAAAAATATAAAGTAATGATTCCTGAAAGTTGCTTGTTTTGATGACTTGTTTGGGGGGTACACAGCTTTGGAGTTCGTTCATACCCACGGTTGACATTAAGTGGAAAGCGCTGAGCCTGCGTCTGGCAGGACAGCAGCCCTTAACCCTGCTGAACACCACCAGTGCAAGCTGGTCAGCACAAGAGACTGAGCATGTGAGTTATTCTGGACTTAGACAAACAGACCCACTGGCATTCCTGGATGTCACTATTCACCTGTTATGGTGGAAACATGCCATCTCAAAGTCACATACTTTAACTGGCACAAGTAGCTGGGCTGAGTGTGTGGGCTTTCCTAACTTTCTATGTCTCATGTATAATAGTTTTATATAACAGAAGGTAATTTAAAGGATTCATGAGTGTTCATATGGAAAATGAAATATTGGGCATGTTGCTTCTGTTTCTAGGAGATGGGTTCTGGGGCACACACTGCATCTCCCTATATTGCATTGGGAACTAGGGGCTTATCTGTGCTAGTTGTGTACTGGGTCAACCCATTTTGCTTCACCTCCCAGATGTGTACTATTGGGAGCATGGAGTGAAGGGGAGCAATCCAAAGCAAATATGACTCTCTCTGATGACAGGAGACTTAATTCTTGACAAATAAGTCCTACAAAACCTACTAAATGCAAAATCAAACATATTCAATACACCTGAAATGTAGGAAAGAAACAAATTAAATGCAGGTTGAAAAACTGCGAGTTAGATTTCCTCATTTTCCCTAGGAAAATTGTTTTAAGAAGCATATTTTCAAGAAGAGAAATTGGAGAATGCGACAAACTCGATTTATTCTGTGATCATCAAGGTTGGTATTAGCAATTTCATGAAAACTGTTAATACTATAGCAAAAGCTTCTTCAAGGTCCCTTGCCTTTCAGCTCCTGCCACAAAGCACAGAAGAAACGGGGCTTGGGGTAACCAGACCAGTGGTGGACCTGAGGGCAATTCTGGCAACCTTTCAATCTGCATTGACTCTGTATCAGCCTTTATACCATAAGAACTTTCTTTAATTACCAAAGAGACATCCCTCATTATAAAATAAAAAAGAGTAATAAGTGTAAGGCTGAGAAACCATTGAAAAGTAAAAAAGCAAAGAGCCAACAAAAAAAGTTATTAGCTCAAAACAGCAGATGGGCAATGTGTAATTTTACTTCCATCCCAAATCCCTTAAAAATAACAAGATTTATTTTTAAAATAATTGGGGTTTAGTGGAGGGGGGCAAAAATGTAAAAATGGGAGGAAACTCTACTACTAGGTTAAACCTTCCTCTCTTGGGCACTTTGGGGTCCCTGCCTGCCTGCTGGTACTATCTTCAGCACACAAGAGGAGGCCAGACAATGGTCATTTCCCTCCCAGTTAGACAAAGGGGGAGAGGAGACAAGCAATAGAGAAACACATAAACACAACTGCCAACCATGCACATGCCAGCCAACCGCCCATACTGACAATTTGTCATTCATGACACAGACTGACTTTTGAGGAAAAATGACTGAAACAAAACCAGAATGGAGAAGCATATGACCTGCTACAGGGGAAACAGATTGATCAGAGAACAGAGGAGGTTGTTTTTTTTTTTTTTAAAATTCTACATAATGTCTTCAGAGATACCCAAAAGGATCTTGCATGTAACAAAACAAACAAGTTGAAACCAAAAAAGAAACCATTAGAAAACAAGGAAGAGACATGAAAGTTAAATATATGAATTCTGGAATACAAATTCCATCAGAAAACCTGGATAACAGAATAAACATGACTGAAGACTCAATTAGGAATTAAGAAGACAAAAATCAAAAAAATTCTTAAAATAATGAGTAAGAAATACAAGATTATCTATCATATGTATTATCTACATAACATGTATGTTAAAAGACATTGAAGAATCAATTCAAAAGATTCGATATCTACCTAAAGAGCAACTTAAGAAGAGGAGAATAGAGACAATGGAGGAGTAGGAATAACTAATGAAATAACAACAACAAAAAATTTTCCTGAAAGAGGCATAGACACTTCTTGATAAAATTTCAGAATTTCTGGTATAAGAAGAAAATCTAATTCTCAAAGAGAGAGATTAAACACATTATTTACAAAGGATCAAGAATTCAATCACCATTAGGCTATATTTTATCAATGATCCTGGATACTGAAAAATAATGAGAGTATAATGATGTCAAATAACTTGAATTATAACTTTAAATAGCCAAATGAGTATTTCAGCATGAAGAAAAAAATGAAAACTTCTCACATATGTATAGAGTAGGAGACCTTACTACCTTTTTAAGAGAATAACTCAAAGATACATTTAATCCAAAAGAGAAATGAATGCAAGAAAAGGGATACTATACAGTACATATTACAGTTTGGATCTGGACAGTTCCCCAAAGGCTCATGTGTTAAAGGCTTGGTTCCTAGCTGGTGGCACAATTGGGGCGGGGGATTTTAGGAGGTGGGATCTAATTAAAGGAAGAGGTCACTCGGGGTGTCCCTTAAGGTTATATTATGTCCCCAGCCACTTCCTGGTGTCTTCTCTTTCTCTCATTCTTTCCCATCTTCTTCTTGACTGCCATTAGGTGAGAAGCTCTGCTCCACTACACGTTCCCCTCCATGATGTTCTGTCTTACCACAGGCCCAGAAATGATGGAGCCAAGTGACCATGAACTGAAATCTCCTTTAAATTGATTTGCTCAGGTATTTTGTCACAGCAATGGGAAACTGACCAAGCCACATATATATCTAGGGATGGGATGTAGTTTGGTAGTAGAGTTCTTGCCTAGCACATACTAGGTCCTGGGTTTGATCCCCAGAACCACAGTGGGGTGGGGGGGAGTCAAAACCATAAGAATATCTCAAAAAATACCAAACACACACTTGATAAAATTCAATATATGTTTATAATAAAAACCTTTAACACACTGAAGATATAAGAAAGCTTATTTAATTTGATATCTCCAAGACATCTATAGCAAATGTTCTAAATGGAGGAAAATATGAAATAATCCCATTACAATAAAAAACAACACAAAAATAGCTACTATTTTTAAGGTTGGCTGAGTCATATGCTAAAATTGCAAAAAGAAATATGATACATATTAGAAGGAAAGTCAAAGATGGCCAATGTGATAGTATCTCCTATCCTATATGTGTTTTCTACAAAGTGCTATTGCCACACCCCCATCAAGGGGTGGAATCCACTCCAGCCTTGAATCTGAGCATGCTCTCTAACTCCTTGAACCAATGAAATAATTTGAAGGTGATGCTATGCCTGGAAAGAGAATCAATTGCAAAACTTTGAGAACTAGAAAGAGATTCAGAAAGGTGGTTAGATATGAGACCAAAATAAAAAAAATTAGTAGTTTTACAATATATTAAAATAAGTACTTGGAAAATGCAAGAAAAAGTGCTTATTTATAATACCAAGAAAAAAAATCATGAAATACATATAAGTAAATCATAAATGTCTAAGACTGTTCGAGGGCAGGGTCTCAGCTGGAAACAGATGGCACATTCAAATTAGGATAATTAAAGTGATTTTAACAAAGGAAATATTTATGAGGATGGGGCTGGGTGTAGGGAAATTAGTAGGAATGGTGCCGCAGCAACCACAAGCTTTTAATAGCCTAAGTGAGTGGCAGAGTAGGAGGACATGTTACAGGAATCCACAAAGAGAACATCCTGGAGAAGAGGCCATCTTGATAAGGCCAGGAGATTAAGTGGACATATCAGCCAGTTGTCAGCATCCCAAGCTCACTGTCCTCACCTCCTCTGGTCAAGGCCTCCCACTGGCCAAATGCATATGGAAGCCAAAGAGCATAGGCATTATGATGCTGCCCATTCAGTTTGGCCTCCAGGGAAGAAACAGGGTGGAAAAGGGTGGAGAGGTGGCCTGCACAGTAAACAAAATATCTGGATGTATTGGTTCATTTTCCATTGTTATAACAAAACACCTGACTACAGGTGCTTTATTCATTCATTCATTCATTTATTGGTACTGGGGATTGAACTGGGGCCCCTTTAGAGCTGAACTACATCAAATTGGGATACTTCACAGTACTGTTTATTTAGCTCACAGTTTTGGAGTCTTAAAGTCCAAGACCAGATGGCTCCATTGGTTCAGATGATAGTAAGGGCTTCAGGGCTAATGATATAGTGGCATGAGTGTGTGCAAGAAGAAGGGAGGCATTCACATTAAATAAGCAAAAATAAAACAAGAACTGAAAGACAACAAGGGGAGAGAAAAGGCCAGTCTCAGTGCTTTTTTTTTTTTTATCAACTCTCTCTTAAGAAAACTGATGTCCCCTCAAAACTACTTAATCCCTTCTGAGGGCAGCTTCCTCAATGACCTATCAATCTCCCACTAGCCCCGCCTCTTAGAGATCTTAACCACATCTTAACATTGTCATGCTGGGACAAGCTTCCAACATATGAACCACATCAAAACCATAACACTGGCACAAAACCATGCACACAGAAAGTAATAAAACTTTTCTGAAGAACCCAGAGTCAAACAGGAAGACATGTTCTCAGGTAAGTCTAGTATTTTAACAATGTTGATTCTTCCTAAATTGTTCTATAAAATCCAAACAGGCACAGAAAAAAATCATAATAGGTACTAGAAGGTTTATCTGGGAGAGTATGAAATATCCAAGAAAAATCAAGAACATTTAGAGAAAGAAGGCAAATAAAAGAAGACTCTTCTACCAGAACTCAAAGTACATGATAATGTAATTAGGCATCAACTAACAAATCCATCGTTAGAATAGAGCTTAAAAATTGACACAAGTACATAGAAATTTAATAAATGTAAAGGTAGCATTTAAAATCAGTATGGAAAGAATGAAACACTTATTAATGATATTTTGGAGTCCATTGGGGAAAATATAAAGTACATGTAATTAAATACAAAGAAGAATGCTGGAAAGGATAAATGAATAACTAGTACACTAGCAATCTTTTGGAGATTTTTTTGGATTTTTTCATGTGTGTGGGAGGTTATTTGAGTTTTTAGAATTAGAATGTTTTCATGTATTTTTTGTAATACTCAAAAAATCTTGAATTAAAAAAAGGAGAATTAAAAAACTACCAAGTAGAATATAAATTGATCATGATTAGATACTTTAGGAAAGGGAAGCAGTCACATTAAATAAGTAAAGATAAAACTTAAACTGTAGCATTGTGTGCTAATTCATGAAATAAAGAATCATGATTAAGGAAATCAATAGCCATTTCACAGGTTACCATTTCATTTCTGATCACTGCAATACCAACTATTTGTTCAGCAACTTCAGCAACAAATGCCTGCATTGGTGTTCCATCCTGAAAAGATAAATATGCATTTGAAGACCATTAAAAGTATTAGTGTCAAAGTTTCTATGAGCATTAAATTGTGAGTCCATGATCATGAACCCACAAGCCATGAGTACATAATAATGATAGACAGATCCAATACCTAACAACATTTACTTTGGGACGGTATCAAGGTAAATGCCCTCCTTGTGTTCATTTCATCCTCACCTCAATTCTTTGCATCATTATTAATCTATTTATTTATGAGAAAATGGGCTTGTCAGGCTGTTACAAGATCTCCAGCTCACAAGGAATAAATCTATGATTCAAACTCCATTCCTTTCTACTCACAATTTACTCTACATCAATGGATCCCAAGTGTTATGATCCTAGAACCTCTACACACCAAGGACTCTTGAAGAGCTTTGGTTTAAATATATAATATCTATCACCATTTTATGTATTAGAATACTGAGAAAATCCAGGTCTGGTGGCACACATTTGTAATCTCAGTGGCTCAAGAGGCTGAGACGGGAGGATCGAGAGTTCAAAGCCAGCTTCAGCAAAAGCAAGGTGCTAAGCAACTCAGTGAGACAAGGTCTCTAAATAAAATACAAACTAGGGCTGTAAATATGATTGCATGCCCCTAAATTTAATCCCTGCTATCCCCCCAAAACAGAACAATTTGAATTTATTAATTTTTTTTCAATTTAATGATAAAACAAAATTTAAATTTTATTTTTAATTGAAAATTGACAGCATATTGCATATTTAATTGAATGTATTTTTAATTTAAAAAATTATACATTCCAAAACAAAAATACTCAAAAGAATTGAACCATTTTCTATTTTTGCAAATTTCTTTAATGTTTGGCTTAATAAAAGACAGCTAGATTGTCATGTTTGCTCCTGCAGTCAATCAGTTGCAATACGTTGTTTTAGTTGAAATATGGAACATAAATATGCCTTCACCAAGATATGTAGTTGGAAAAGAAAGAAGTATTTAGATAATTTTTCAGATAATTATGGATATTCTTTGATACTCCACCAAAACTCAACTAGTGTTTTAGATATTAGTTCCAATGTAGTATCTGAAACCATATCAATGAACATTGTATACACTTCTATGTTAAAATTCATTGGTCTTTTGCACTTTGAATAACTCTTACTCATGCATGCTTCTGCAACATCATTCATTGTTTATCTGGAAACTATTGGTTCACCAAGCTATGAAGATTTTCCAAATCTTGAGTCATTGAATTAAAAACAAATATCCAAACATCAATTCATTAACATCATCATTAGTTTCATCAGAAAAAGTGTTATAAGTATTGTTAAACTGTCAAACTCATAAATGGCAGATACTGGTTTCCCTAAATTGTATAGTCTTTTTTCTTAATTGTATTCTATCACAGGGTGCAAATGCTGTCAGTTGTTGTCTTGGTATAACAATCTTATCTCATTCATTTTTAAGAAAATGTCTGCCAACTACTTGCATTCAAAATCCTGTATTTTGTCTGCCAGTTTTTCTTTCATGTAAAAATGGTGTTCCATGAAAATGGCAATTGAGGGGGCTAGGGTTGTGGCTCAGCAGTAGAGTGCTGGCTTAGCACCTGTGAGGCACTGGGTTTGATCCTCAGCACCACATTAAATAAACAAATAAATAAATAAATAAATAAATAAATAAATAAATAAATAAATGAAATATACGTATTGTATCCAACTGAAACTAAAAAAGAAATTTAAAAAATGGCAGTTGGTTCAACATGCAGTTCAAACAACTGCAGAAGTGCTTTTTCTTGAAACAACTTACATGCTTCAGGATACAAGAGACACACTTCAGGCATATTTCTCATTTTGTCACAAAGAATACCAAAAACACATGGACTCAAAGGCTGAGATTCTATACAATTAGTAATGTTACTGCCTAATCAAGAATATTCTTTAGTGAAACTGGATCCTTCTTTTTTTAAATTGAAATTGCAATTGAGATAATTATAGATTTATATACAGTTTTAAGACATAATATAGAAATTCCTTGTATACATTGTCCTGTATCCCCTAATGATAACATTTTGCAAAACTACAATAAGACAAGCAGGAGATGACATTGATTCAAGTGTGTGTTCGTATGTGTATTGAGTTCTATATAATTTCATTACCTACATAGGTTTGTGTATTTATCACAACCATGGTATTGAATAGTCCCAATACCACAAAAATCCCTTAGGTTTCCCTTTCATAGCTGTACTTATCTCCCCCTACCTTTCCCCTGCCCTTAACTCTGGCAACAAATAATCTGTCCTCCATTTCTAAAATCTTATCATTTCAAATGTCACACAAATGGAATCATACAGTACATAACCTTTAGGCATTGGTGCTTTATCTCCCCACTCAGAAAAATACTCTGGAGATATACCAAAGCTATAACATGGATTAGCAGTTCATTCCTTTTGTTACTGTGTAGTGTCCCATGGTGTGAATGTGATATCGTTTTTTTTTTTTTAACCATGCATCTGTTGAAGAACATCTGGGGTAATTCCAGCTGCTGTGGACTTTTATGTACAAGTCCTCATTCCTCTGGAACAAATGCCCAGGAGTGCAATTGCTAGGTCATATAATAATTGTATTTGTTTCTTTTTAAGAAAACACAACATGTTTCACAAAGTGGCTCCACCACTTAGCAATTCCACATGAGTGGTCCAATTTCTCTATATCCTCATCAACATTTAATGGTGTCACTATATTTTGCTTTAGCCATTTTGACAGGCATGCAGTAATATTCCTTAGTGGGTTTCCTTTTCTGTTGAAAGCAGGTCAGGGAGATGAAGAATTCCATGACTAACAGGACATTTGGTGTCACTGCCTTGATTCCTGGTAAGGTGCCAACTGTTTTATCCACTATCACTTTTGAATAGTCAGTGCAAATGTCAATAAAGTGGAAAGGAACATAATTTAATTCTCTCATTATGAAAATAGCTTTTATCTCATAGAACCACTGAACTTTTATGACTTGGAAATCACCACTCCTCCCAAAACCAAGGTTCCCTGGACCATATTTTGGGAACAAGGACACAAAATCATACTCTTGACAGGGGCTAAGAAGGAAGGAACAACAAATGAAACAAAAAGACCAAGGCAAACCAAAGCAAAAAAAAAAAAAATGCTGGTGGGAAGTTTATTTCATTTTGATGCCTTTATAAATATTAAACATTTGTGTATTTGTCATTATATTTAGATGCTTGATGTCTCCCTCCTGGTGACTTAATAATTAACTAAAAAGATTTTTCCCCTCAAAAAGAACAAATAACTGGGAACTCCACAGATGGCCTCAGCAGTAGAATTAAGAAATAAATTGTGATGTATCCATGCAATGGAATTCTTCATGATATAATATGGGGGCATCTCAGAAACATGTTGCTGAGTAGAAGAAACCCAATGTCAGAAAATAAACTGCATGATTCCATTTACATAAAGCTCAAAATAGGCACAATTAATCTCTGATCTTGGAAGACAAGGAGTTAACCTTGGGAAAGTGCCTGAATGGAAGTAGGAGGGGGTCTTCTGGCTGGCTGGGGTCAGTCTGTTTTTGGAAACAGGTGCTGGTTATGTGTGGTATTCAAATTGTGAAATGCATCAAACTGCTTATTGGTTATACTTCAATAAAACTATTTCAAAACTAGGGCTGGGTTTTGGCTCAGAAGTAGAGTGCTTGCCTACCATGCATGAGGCACTGGGTTCGATCCTCATAAAGATAAAATATTGTGTCCACCTATAACTAAAAAAGAAATATTTTTTTAAAAAATTTCAAAATTAAATGTAAGTAACTGGATGCTTCTCCCAATCTAAGCCTAGTTCCATGGCCCTTAGCTGGCATGGCCCTTAAGATAATGGTGTTAACATGAGGACCACTGCCAGCCTGCCTTTGCCTTGGCATACACATGCCTTCCTGTACTAGAAAGAGGACCCAACATTTTCCACACAGGATCCTTCCTAGCCTATCCAGTCTTGAGAACTCAGCCAGCTCAACAAAAGGGTCTGTCCAGGCTCATCATCCAGTAGGGTCAAAATGGGGACCCACTAAGTCTGAAAACTACCAGGTGGGTGCCATATCTTCATGAAGTCCCTGACCACAAGGAGATCCATCTTAGTCTAGGGACCATGATTTACTTATATAGTTTTGTGATGTAATTGTGCCTCAAGTTCAAATTTTTTAATTCTTGTGATAAAGATTTGGGGTATATTATCAGCCGCCTTGAGCAATACCAGTGAGGAAAATAGCTTCTCCTCCTTAAACTTCAATCTCCTTGTTTTGTTTTTGTTTTGGTTTTCTTGTCCCCGTCTTTGAATCCCACCTGGGCTGCTCTCCACCATATGATTCTCCAAATGCAGTTCAAGGAAACTTCAGAGATGAATGTACATGGGTCACAATGGTCTTATATCATGGGGAGAAGGAGGTTACTCTGGTCACTGCAGGTACTTACAGGGTCTCTGCGAGCTTCATTGTATTGGCTTAAATCTGTCAGTATGCTTTCACTGAGCATGAGGGTTCTCACAAGCTTTTCAATGCCAGGAGTGTCCATTAAAGTGGCTAATCTTATCTTAATGGACCTGGATAAGGAGAGAAATATTATTTTTTAGGTTAAAGTACCAAAATATGTATTTCTCCCAGAAATGGAGAAAGAATTGCAATATATCATATAAAATAATATTTGGAGGAGTATATACATATTCACATTGGAATTTGATTAATTAAAAGTAATTCATTTCCTTCTGGAAAACCTGGAAAGTACACAAAAGAGTACAAAGAATAAGATAATGCCATTAGCCAAAATAACAAGATTATACTTTAAAGGGATACAATTTCTCAGGTAGACCTAGGCTCAACCATTTTTTCATGATATGTTAAGAAGTTAAGAAATTGCACTGTACCAGGACTGCCTTCACAAGCATGTTCCCCAGAGAGCAGCCCAGGGCAGCATGCTCTGAAGGACCTTCCTCACACTTTGAGTTTAATGCTTCACCATCTTAGAAATTCTTAATAATTGTATCTTTGATTTTGTGTTTTAAGTGAAATGAGACAGTGCAGCATGTCCAGGGGATAGGGGTCTCTACTCTCCCCCCCACCACCCATCACTTCTCCATAGTGGGTTATCTCCTACCTGTTCCCTGTCCCTGGCACCTTGGTACTCTCCACCCCTGCCTCACAACTGCTGCCTCCCTCTGCCATGGGTAACAGCTGGGCTGTGTTGGTTTGGGGAGGTCCACATCTACCATCACCCTCAATACCCAGTGAAGAGGGTCAAGGTCAGATACATAACCTGTGGAGTCTCTGGCCACACAAGGGAGCTACTGTCCACACTCTGGTGGCAGGCAGAGCCATGAAGTGTTGACTGGTGACTCAGTGTAAAATTCTTGCCCATTCATATTATGTAGCTGGCCTTTCATTGAATTCTCTATAGTCATCAGGGTATTATGATTAAATAAGACCAGGCTATTCCTCCTAATGTTAATAGACTATTCTAGTCTATTTTAACTCTTAGGTACTAAATATCTGTGCATATTGACAAAGGAAATCTACACCTATAATTAACTGGTTAAAAACGATCGATTAATATTACCATGATAATTTTTATGTGAAAGAACTTGATTCTGATATGACCACCTCACATCAAAATTTAGCTCTGATGGGTTAAAGATGTGAATGTAAAACAGAGAACACAAAACTACTGGAAAAATACTTAAGAGTATTAACAACATATGTGTTATGGTTTATAAGTGAGGTGTCCTGCAAAAGCTCACACATGAGACAATGCAAGAAGGTTCAGAGAAGAAATGATTGGGTTACAAAAGCATCAACTCAATAAGTGAATTAATCGCCTGATGGGATTAGTTGAGTGGTAACTGAAGGCAGATGGGGTGTGGCTGGAAGAAGTGGGGCATTGGGGGTGTGCTTTGGGGTATGTATTTGTATCTGATGAATAGAGTCACTCTCTGTGCTTTCTGATCATCATGTGAGCTGCTTCCCTCCACTACTCTCTTCCACTATGAGCCCAAGAAAGGGAGTCTGCTGTCTGTGGATTGAGACCTCTGAAACTGTGAGCCCCCAAATAAACTTTTCTTTTTCCACAGTTGTTCTTGTCAGGTGCTTTCATCACAGCAGCAAAAAAACAGGTGAATATAACAATATGATCTCACAAACCCTTGCACACTAATGCTGACAGCAGCATTAATCATAAGAGCTCACTAGTCATAACAAGCCAAGTATCCATAAACTGATGGATGCACAAAATGTGATACGCACACACACACACACACACACACACACACACACACAATGGAATATAATTCAGCCATACAAAGAAATGAAGTACCAACACATATTCCAACATAGCTGAACCTTAAAAACATTATGCTAAGTGAAATAAGCCTTATTCAAAAGGTCACATATTATATAATTTCATTTATATGGAATGCCTGCAGAAGCCAATTTAGATTCAGAAAGTAGATTAGAAGTTATCAGGAGCTGGGAAAGAAAGTAATGAATGTGACTATTTAATAGCCATGGGGTAGCCTTTGGGGTGATGAAAATGTCAGATAGAGGAATAACATAAATGTACTGAAAACCATTGACTTGTACATCTTGTACACTTTTAAATGGATAAATTATATGCTATGTGAATTATATCTCTATAAATCTGAAAAGGCAATGGAAATACAACTCACAGCCAAAAAATAAGTGGGTGCAGCTATAAATATCAGATAAACTAGACCTTAGGACAAAAATCAGTATGTGAACAAAAGTCTTTACTTGATAAGAAAAGTAGAAATTCACCAGGAAGATGCAACAGGCTCAAAACTGCAACTTAACAGCATAGCTTAGGACACTGAAGGAGAAACTGACAGTCACAAGAAGAATTTGACTAGACCAATCATCCTACTGGTAGGATTTGGAAACTGGTATCAGACAAAAAAGCTTCACACACTGTGGAAGATTCGGATAAGCTTACCCTAAAGGACACTGCATCCGCAAAATGAAACAAACCCGGTTGTCTAATAGTCTATTTAGTGTTGTCCTTCTAAAGCCCTCCACTGTCTTTCCCGTCTGACTTAATGGTAAATCTGTCCTTCCAGGGGTTCAAGCCCCAACCTAGCTACCTTTTGGCTATCTCAAATGCCTCTCTTTGGCTGGGTTGTACTTCAGATTGTCTCTTCCTTCAAAATGCATCTAAATCCACCTCCCAATCCATCTCCCAAGCTTCAATATTCGCCCCGACCACCCTCACCTCCCGCCTGGGGTGGTACAACGGTATCCTCACGTGTCTCCACGTTTTTCACCTTTGCCCCACAAATCCACCCTCAGCCGAGCCACCAGAGTGACATTTGTAAAGCGTTCATTTTGATATATTATGATCCGTCTATTCAAATCCCAGGAAGAGAGGTATTTCCAGCCTCTTTTATGCCTCCTCTCAGAATAAATAGTGTTTTCAAATGCACAAGATGAGACACAGGATTACAATACATGAAAGAAACATGACTCAGCAGTGGTCTCATAACTCGCATTTTTTTGCTGCATTGATGGTTATAAGTAATAACTGGCAGATGTAGATGTCAACAAATCTGTGACGTGATGGGAAGATACCTGTGGTTGCAATGTGAGAGAAAGGGGCAGCTACTGCTGACACTGTGGTGATTTGTTGTCTACTTTTACAACAGAAGGAAATGCCAAATTCCAGTGAAATCTTTGTGAAAAAAAATAGAGATATCTTTTTTTTTTTTGCCTGAATTTTACCCATGGACCCAAGTTAAGAATCCCAGCTCTTTCCCATTGTATTCTCCCAGTGAGAACCAAAGTCATCCAGTGACTGAAAGCTCCCTGACCACAGCTGCCTCCCTTATTTCTTGGCTCTGGGGTCTCTCTGAGACCTTTTCTCTCTCTGATTCATCCCTGAATCCCTGGCTTCTTGCTTTCTCTGCTCTGCATCACACATCACCAAAGTTTTCCTTAAACACAACTGTCATGCTCCCTCCTCGGTTATCACCTGACTTCCCGCTCCTCACCCCAACAAATCTACTAGCCTTGTGTCCACTTCAACATCAAGTGTTTTGCTCAGACTTCACCCTTTCAATGATATCATCATCCCTGACCTTGATCCCCTGATTTAAAATCTGGAAACCCTAACTCTCCCATCACCATTATTCATTCCATTTTTTTTTTCTGTGAACTTCCTTTTTTCCCCACCCACTAGAATAAACCTTCATGAAGATAGGAATATTGATCCATTTGCCCCCTGCTGCAACCCTGTGGCTAGAACAATGCCTGGCATATAGTAAGTGCTCAATAAATCACTGCTAAGTGAATGAATTGTGCAGCTTATATAGAGATAGTCAGAGAGCTTATTACTTGTTTGAGCTTAGTGCTGCAACTGAGTTACAATGTGTTCTGAGAGCCAGGTGATTGAATGAGCACGTGAATGTCTTTCCCCAGCAAGGCTCAAAGCTCAGACCACATCATGGTCCATTTGGAAAGCCAGGCTTTTCCTTAGCATACTGTAGTGATGAATAGATGTTGAGTAGGACACGGGGCTGTTTCCCTGTTAAGCGCCAGAAAAACACAAACATCATTTCCCTTATCTGTTCATAAAAATCTACTGTTGATTAGGGGATGCACCCATTTTGCATTACATTTTGCAGCTCTCATGTTTGTTATTTCTATTTGCCAAGGAGGAACACTTGAGAATCTTCACTGGTTCCTGGAATTTCAGGAGGAAGAATGGGCAGGGTAATAGGTTTGTGCCCTATTGTAAAGCTACACTGTCTGGTACAGAGCCCCTAACCCCAGGTGGCTACTGAGCCCTTGAAATGTGGCTGCTCAGAATTCAGATTGCTGTAAGTACAAACTAACAATTGAGTTTTGATAACTTGGTACAAGAAAAGAATGTAAAAAAAAAACACATCATTAATCCTATCACATATTGATTACATGTTGAAATAATATATTAGATATAGTAGGTTAAATAATAAATACTATAATTGATTTCACCTATTTTTTTAAAATTAATGTGGCTATGAGAAAATTTTAAATTGTATGTGTGATCACAAGGCATTTTTTACTGGACAGGGTTCTTTAAATGCCTGCATTTGCTCATGAGAGCTATTTTCCACATTTTTAAATCAGTTCAGAAGGCAGAATGCAGGTTTAGTCCATGGGTGACCTTTTTTCTACAGCTCTGAGGGAAGGTAACTGGTTCTGCATCTTGTGCTAGGAACAGCAGCTGGATTGAGAACTGGAATGAGAAGGACCTGTAGCTAGAGAGAAGGAAATGGAAATGTGGCAACAGGTATGTGCCCTAATTGCTTGCGTACAGCAACTGACAGGAGCATCTAGAAAAAGGGAAAAATGAATGTGCATCAGTGATAAATTCTCTATAAAAATGTACTCCTTTAAAAATCAGTTATTAAAATCAGTTATTAACCATTGTTAAGAATGGTTCATTCATTCAGTCAGTTGCAACTGATTATTACATATCTGCAGTACACTCTGTGTGCTACAGATTTATCAGGAAACAGGACCTGCCACAATTCCTACCCTGTGGGGCTGGCCTTCTGTT